AATATAAATTATTACGGGGGTAGTTACATGTTAAATAGAACTAAATATTTGTATAATAACAATAATAGTATATAAATTTTTCTAATAAACAATGTAACGGTACTGCATCGGTAAAAAAAAAAAATAACATATAAATGATTGAGTCAGACTCAATTAAAAATTGGATTGAGTCAAAGCCAAATTAATTTTGACAACATGTATAATTATCACCTTATCCATAAATGAATGTTACAATTTGTATTCAACACAAAAAAAAATCAATTTGCTCAAGAGGGTTTGTAATAAAATTACTTCCAATGTCTAATAGAAAAAGGTTAACATTGAAGGATGATAAAGTATTTATATTTGGAATAAAAAATGTAAAAGAAAGAGCTAGGGTTGTTAACGGTCTGGTCAGGTCTGGTCCAAAGGCCATCAGTCTAATCAAAGGACCGGACCGTTGGACCGGTCTGAGACCGCGGTCTGGACTACAGTCCAGACTTAGGGTTTCTATTTGAATAAAACGAATAAAACCAATGAAACAAATAAATGAATGAAACGAATGACTCGAATAAACAAATGACTTGAATATAACGAATGATTCGAATATAACGAATAAAACGAATAAAAATAAGAAAAATATTCATAAAAATTAAAAATTCTCCTAGATTAAATTGATGAAATGCGTACAATTTTTCAATTAAAAAACAAACCTTTTTTGGTGCCAATTTTAGATGCTGAAACAAGGTGGAATTCCACCTATTTAATGATCAAAAGATTCATTGAAAAGAGATCTATTATTGAGTGTTTAGTTAATAATAATTATGGAGAATTACAAGAGTTATGCTTAACCACATCAAATTGGATGCACATCGGAGTAAGTTTTACTCTCCATTATTTGTATTTTGACAGGTTTTTTTATTTATTTTAGGAATCTTTAGAAACCAATGTATGAAGCAGTCAAATTATCATCTTCATCTTCATATCCAACAATGGGTGATGTAAGATTAGCCTTTATTGGTATGTCCATCACACTAGACAATTATCTTGATGCACAATTACAACCAATAAATGATTGCATCCTCAATTTAGTCATCATAATTAAATGCCATTTTAGATCCTAGAACAAAGTTAACTACCTTTAGGCAATAATATTACAGATGAAATAATTCAAGAACTTCAAAATATAATTTCAAATTATTCTCGCCAGGAAAACAGTGACCACAAATATTCAAATTCTGCTCGTAATTACTTCTACATCGAAATATAGCTACTTCAACTATACAATCTGAAAGATAGGAAATTAGATAAATACTTGAGAACTCCAGTTGAACCAGATGTAGAACCTTTAATATGATTGCGAGCTCATGAAACAGAGTATCCAATATCGTCAAAAATTGCAATTGATTATTTGGTAATACAATCAACTGGTGTTCCAGCAGAAGGAACTTTTTCCATTGCAGGTTTAACCATTGGTAAATTACGAAATAAATTACTATCTGATACTGCTCGTGCAACTATTTGCTTAAAAAGTTGGATTTCAGAAGGAGACAATGAATGAATTTTGATGTACAGTCTTTACAAAAAAATCTTGCTTTTCTTTACTACATTCCCAAAAGCATAAAGGTGACAATGGTTCAGACATGAAATATGTTGATGTTTAAGTAACTCTATTTTATCAATCAAATGTTTTTTTCTGCTAGATACACATAAGCCACCTAAATCTTTATATTTAAACCGATCATCTAATTAACTTGTTATTTTTAATCCATTAGGATACTCTTCACATATTTCTTTTTTTCGTTGCCTTATAAAATGGAGTTTCCTGTTACTGGGGTCAGTTTTATAAGAACTCATAGAAAATATTATTAATCAAAAATGAACCGAAAAATCGGTTATTTTAAATTGTAATTATTATTATAATCTCAAGTCTTAGTAAAATACAATAAGTTCCTCTTCATTTGTGTTTAAAAGAAAATACGATATATTTTTCATGAATAGGTAGAACATATGGTAGAGATATGTGTTTTCTCATCTAATTGGTAATAACATTCTGAAATACTTGATGTCTTATAATTTTACATTACAAATCGGCATCTGACCACTATACATGTAAATTCAAGTTTGCCTGTGTATGGTGTGTCATGATGATGATGATAACACAAAAAAAAACAATTCCCATTACATTGATACAAATATGATAAAAGTTTCCCTTAAAATGTACATATTTGTTCATTATACATAAATAATGTTTACTAAGATATTTGTTATAGAGAGAGAAATTAATTATAAAAAAATGAATTGGGGGACAAAAGGAAAGTTAATTGTAGAGAGAGTGAACTGCACAAAGAAAATAATGATAATGACGACGATGATGATGGTGGCATAACAATTCTTTCGGATCGTTTATCATAATAATAAATCCAATTTTTTTTGGAAAAGAAAAATTTAATAATTTATTATTAATAGTAGTATTATTGCGGTAACATCAACTAGAATGAATATTTTGATATCACTGGTAAAAAATAAATAAATTTAACAATAGTTAAATGTTTGTTAAAGTGTCAAAAGTTTGATCTTTATTAACTAAAATTGTGCATCTAGGTTAAATTTGATTTTTTGCCAGTTTATCTAATACAAATAATAATAATAATAATAATAATATTAATAATAATAATAATAATAATAATAACAATAATGGTCACGTAACAATTCTTATTTATTTATTTTTTTGGAAAACAATATTTGAACTTCCAGAACACGTCTCTACAGCATAACAGAGTCATATTTATTAACAATGATGTACTTTCATATTGAAAATGCATTTTAGTGGTAAAGAAAGGAGCAATCACAAATCAAGTTAGACTCGTCGTTTTGCAAAAGAAAGAATGCTCAATTAATTTGCACACAAAATATTCAAAATCGGTTTATTAATAAGTAATTGAAGTATCATCTATTTGGTTTATCTCTCGCTACTTTACTTTCACTAAGAAATGTTTACTTGTAACATATTCAACCATCTAATTCGCCATTTTAATTAATTCTAAATGGAAAATTTTCATCCGGCAAATGTCAGATACTATATTGATAACGAGAGAATGTGAATAGGAAATAGCAATGTGCAGATAGATACCAACAAACTAACCTTTGGTTCTCTAGAGTAATTTTTGCATTATTATTATTATTAAAAAATGACAATTTTTTTTTTAAGACAAAAAATTTTAATTATTGTTTATTAAAGTTGATGTGTCATTTATGTTTGGAGAGTTTGTATCGCTATTACTATTATTATTATTATTAATATTATTGTTACTATTACTACTATTACCGCTACTATTGTTGTTATAATTATCATCATTGTTATTAACAGTGCTAGAATCTTGAATCAATGTACTTATTTTAGCATTTAGAGTATTAGGAGGTGATATGTACGTATTAGGTATGGTAGATGTTAATGCCAATGATAATGTTGATGATGATGACGATGATGATGACGATGATGATGATGATGAAATGGGATTTAAAACAGGTATTGAAATACTGTTATCTAAAGATGATGATGAACCATTAGTAGCAATAAAACTATTACTAATAATATTGGTAACATTATTATTATTTATTATGTTGTTTATAATAATGTTGGATGTTGCAACAGAAATATTTGTGTCATTTGATGAACTTATACCACTCCTCAATCCATAAAGATAGCCTCTTTTTATGTAATTATTTAAAAAAAAGAAATAATTTCAATGATTATATTGTTATTATTATCGTCATAACAAATAATAATAAATAATAGACTGCTAGACGTACAAGTATTTATCATCAATCTTATCATTAAAAAAGGTTTGTCGCATCTTGAAGAAGGTTGCCGCTGTCAAGAGACTGTCACTACCAGCCTGATGTTGAGGTCCAATTCTTTCCACCTAATTTAATAATAATAATAATAAATAAATAAATGAAAACCCCCTCTTTTTTATTTTATTTCATTTTATTTTATTCTTCTACCTGTAAATCATCAGCAATATCCTGCAATCCACCTTTAAGATTTTTATGGCTTTTCATAAGATATTTTATATCATATATACATGGAAAGTATGTTTTTAAAAGATCAAAAAAATCGTTTTCTTCAGGTGGCAGAGGTGAACAAGTAAGCACTTTGAGTAAATATCCAAAGTCATAACCACTATAAAACATATTATAATAAAATAATGATGAGTTTTTTTCTTTTTGGAGGTCAAAAAATTTTTTTTTATGAATACCTACCTGTGAAAAGATATCCATTTCACATCATCAAATAGTACAAATCCTGAACTAATTAATAGTTCACCAAAATTTTCTACGTCTATGCCATAATCCTCATGTTTCTTAAAATCAATACCTGATTTTGTTAATAGATCAATTGAATCCTGGGCATACATGTCACCTCTAAGAGTGTCTTGGGTGGATGGATAATAATAATATTATTATTATTAATATTAATATTCACATATATATATAGTTAAGTTTTCGAAGTTTTTTTTTGATATTAAAAGTATTAATCAGCAATATAATACGCACATCAAATTGAATTTAAAGTTGAATTGCCATGTACAAATATCTTGTGGTAATTTTCCGTTCTCATCTGCAAATGTGATGCCTAATTGAATTATTTTTAATAAATCAACATTACATCGAAGTGTTTGGTAATGGTAATCTGAGCTAGAACGAAAGCTGCCAACTGGTCGTGCCACTACACCAGGAAATTCAGTATCCTGAAAAAAAGATAATTTACACAATGAGTAAGGTAAACAAAGAATATATTTTTATATAAAAAAATAAATGTTACCATTGCAAGATAAGAATAATCTTCAACTAGATCACGAAGATAAGCCATCTCCTCTTCCAAATTTTCTGCCCATACTTCCCTAATATATTTACTTTCATTACTACCAAGCATTTCTGCAACGATGTATATATATTATATACAAGAAAAATAGTATTGAATTGGTGCAACTAAAAATTAAATGTATTAACCTTACCATATTTAGTAAGCGTCATTTCAAAAATCCAGGCTTACTTTTCATATTAGTCGTGGGACATTGCAAATCAAGTGTCATTCAATATAAACGTTACACAAAAAATTTATTGTCGTCCACTTCAAAAAAAAAAATCTCCGTTTTTCATGTAACAAGCGACTTTCAACCATAATAAATTTTTTAGAGCCAGACTGGGGCTTT